ATTGTTAACTGCTGGGAGAGGAAGGGTCAGTTTTCTCTAAGAGTGTAGCCACTGAGAAGCCAACCATAATCCAACAGAAGGCCACAGATCTAAGTAGCACAAATTGGCCTTGATTTGGGGGGTTCGGGGCAGGGACACAAAACTGGGTGGGAAGGGAAGGTGGGTGGATCTTTAGGAGAGTGAATATGATCAAAATATATTGTATGAAATTCTCAAAGAAATAATAAAGTATTTTTTTAAAAACACAAGTAGCTATAGCATTAAAATTATGGCATTTAACTGGACAAAAAAGGCCAATTTCACTATTTTAAGGATATATCTATATTTAGTATACAGTATGTGGATTCAAGCAACTAATTCTAGGTTTAGCATGACTACAAACAAGAGAGAGAGAGAGAGAGAGAGAGAGAGAGAGAGAGAGAGAGAGATACTTATGCCTTGATATGTTCACCTGTAAATTAAGGTATTAGAAAATCTAAGCCAGATACAATGGTAGATACTTATAACCCCAACACTGAGAGGTAGAGGCAGGAAGACAGTGAGTTTGGGGTCAGCCTGTGATCCAAAGCAAGATCAAGGGTAGCTTGAGGTACATAGCCAGAGTGTCTCAAAAACATCAGAGGCTAGAGAAGTAGCTCAGTGGTAGACCACTTACTTTATATGTGCAAGGCTAAGGGATTTCTGATCCCTAGAAAACACACCAATGTGGAGCAGGGGAGCACCCACACATGGAAAGAAAGAAAAAAGCATCAGAGAACTGCAGAGTAATTACTGTATTTTTAAATCAGTGGGCAGTAACCTTTTCCAACTGATAGGTCTAATTTCTTGTCTCTATTTTCTTTCTTGAAATGAATCATGAGCACAGCATTTATTGTAGACCAGTACAAAATAAAGTCTATTTGAAGAATTATCACTGAAGCCTAAATGAGAAATAATAAGTTCATTATCATGTCTCAAGCTTTTAGATAAAAGAGCTCCATGATTCTATCAGTGTTTTCAGTATTTGAGGAAGTGTTCAAAAAATAGTTTCTGTGTTTTATTACCTTTATCATCTTGAGTATAAATCTACAGCCTACCACTCCTTTATTTCATGATGAAAAGGGACCACAATGGTAAGCTTTTGGCTATGTGCATTTCCCTATGTTAACATGACAGTGTAAGGCCACACTCAGAAGAGTGCTAAACATGTGAAACGGGTCTTGTGATAAACAGGCAAGTAATGGAAGCACATAGGGCAGAACCTTATCACTAATAGACAACCACAACAAGCAACAGGGGTCAGTGAAGAAGCCAGGGCAGGAGACAAGATATTGGCACCTAATTCTGCCACTCAGATTCAACTGTTCTCCTTAGCCCTAGTGTTCCTCACTAATACAAGAGCAATGCAGTTACCAAGAGGGCTACTAAAAAAACAAGTGTAATAATGTTTGTAAAAATCCTAAGTCTATGAATAAAAGAACAGGCAAACAATTTTATAAATTTAATTATTTCAAAACACATTACAAATTTCAGAACCAGATAAGGGCTTCCTTAGGTAAGCATAATTCTGTTTCACAGACCCCAACTTTAACTCCTCAAAATCATCCATGCTATTAATGAAATGTGGTGTGTGTGTGTGTGTGTGTGTGTGTGTGTGAGAGAGAGAGAGAGAGAGAGAGAGAGAGAGAGAGAGAGAGAGAGAGAGAGAGAGCACATGAACAAGTAGTTCACAAAGGAGACCAGTTGGAAACCTCTCGATGGAAGGTATTTATTACTTATGAGTCACAGTCATCTAAGTTGGGAGGTAGGATCTGTGTGGCTGTTGTTCCTCAGTGTCTTCCTGGCCATTACCTCTGCCACCTGTCATACACCCTCTCCACTTAGCCATAACCTTCTCCTGCTTGCTGGCAGGTTATCACCCAGTCAGTCCCCTCCTTTGCAAGGTTTGGTACTTGGCTCAGTTTTCCTGTGTACCTCTGGTCATACCACCATTCTAAGAGAAAGGGTTTTCAATGCTAGTGTCCATCAAATTCCATTCTCCCTACCTCATACCCATTGAGTTCTGTCACTCCATCTCTGCCCCATATGTGAAATATGTCCCAGAAGGAGTTATCACTTCAAACTGCTTTACCTTCAAATCATTCACCAAGCATCTCATTTTCCGACTTAATCATCCTGCCCTTTCAGCATGATTAAGTACTTCAGCCATAACTGTTTTCTGACTGCTTTAAGAATGCTTAGCTACAGCAACTTTCACCCAACTTCCCAGCTCACTTCTGCCTTCTACTTCCTTTTTCTTCCAGGTCACTATTTCAATTATATTTGTGGAGTTACCTTTCACTTTTGGATTTCTATCACAAAAATAGCAAAACCTCAATTCGAACCGACTCAACTACCTCCCTGTTGCTAACCACCGTTGATAAGTCTGATTGACTTTAAATCAGACTTCAAACTCTGTAACTTTTCCCTAGTCAGTTCACCCTTCTCTCCAATGACTATTTCAGAGTGTTTCTACATCATTCTCAAGCTTTGTACCTCTATAGAGTATTACTTCCTTTGTAACAAGGAAAACAGCTCCATGATCTGGGAACTTCCAAAAACATATGTCTACTGGGACTATTCTCTTGCCAGATAGATAGATAGATAGATAGATTGACAGACAGACAGACAGACATAGACAGACAGATAGATAGAGAAAAAAAATATATATATATATATATATATATATATATATATATATGACTCCCCATCCCCTAGTCAACTCTGCTTCAGTGCTGTGGGAGACTCAAGTTACTACAGGGGATAAGAGGCTCATCAGCAAAGACATACAGGTAATCAAAATTTATACAACTGCACTCACTAAATGCTTATTTCATAAAGGCCACAACTGAGCTACCCAAAACTGTCAAATTTCCCTCCTAAATAACTAAAATACACTTACCAAAATCCAAAACACCACCATCTCTTAGCAAACTTTATTGCAGGAAACTTCCTTTGCTAATTAACTCTTAAAAATATGTATCTTGTACTTGGAAGATGCTTGGTGGTTTGGAATACTTGTTGCTTTTGCACAGGACAAGAGTTTGACTTCCAGCAACCACATCCATTTAAGCTTAAACTCAGGGAATCCAACATCCTCTTCTAGCCTCCTCTAGGACCAGGCACACACATGGCACACATACATAAAAACAAGCATATACAAAAATAACACATATACATATAAAATAAATCTTTAAAATTTTTTTTAAATATTAATGATATTTTGGCTTCCTCCCAATTAAAATGCTTGATAAGGACAATCTTTTTTTAATTGAGTAATTATTTAATAAAGATCTGCAGTGATATGGGAGACTCAAATTACTACAGGGGGTTAAGAGGATGATCAGCAAAGATACAGGTAATCAAAATTTATAAGACTGCAATCACCAAATGCTTATTTCACAAAGGCCATTGCATCAGGTTGGGGGATACAAAAGTGAAAAAGAAAAACTGAACCCTTGAGAACCTTTGTCTGATAGAGACTAAGGAATCTGGCCTCAACATGGGCATGACCATGAGCAGAGACAAATCAAGAGCTCTCTACTGACATCTGGGCTACTTTGCAGGTGTGGTATGTATCAGGGATTGTAAGAATGAACCTTGAAAAAAGAGCAATTACAGAGACTTTGGAAGGTCTAAGTGACAAGCCTGGTACAGCTACATGATGCAATTTTCAATGCCAAGCTAACACTCTGGATCTGGACTAATGATAAAGGCCTTCCTTAATTTTGAGCAGGAGACAGCAAACATGTATGTAGGAAAAAATGCATTACAACACATTAATTTGGGTAGCCCAAATTAACATACCCAAATGCCCAAAGCAACATACCTCTGAGTTCAAGGCCAGCCTGAGGCCAAACCATGAGACAGTCTCACAAAACCAAACCCAACACAAATTTTAAGAATTTGGGAAGTCAAATTATCAATATATTTGGGGTACTGGAGATCAAACTCAGGGAAGGGAAAACAATGTTAAGAGGGTCTGTTATTGCTTAAACATGGAACCTCCCACTCCCCCAACACATACACCACCACCACCGCCAACAGGTCTATGTGTTTGAAATCTCAGTCCCTAGCTGGTGGTACCATTTTGGAAGATTGTGGAACAGTCTAGCTGAAGGAACTGGGTAACTGGGGCGCTAAACCACCTCTTTCTCCCGTCACAGGGTCTTCCCTGACATGACAGATTGTACACCCTAAACCCTGAGCCAACATCACTTCTCCCTTAAGTTGCTTCTGTAAGTTACTCAGTCATAAAGACAAAGGTAAGTAATCCCGGGACTTTAAGGTTCTGTGCAGGATCTGATCTGATTCTTACCTGCCACCAATCCAACTCTCCATCTCACTGTCCTCTGCCAAATGCTCCTTTTCCAGTTCCAGCCATGTTCTCTTGCAAAAGGCTTTTGAATATGCTATGCTCTGTGCCTGAGACACACTTCTCTCACCTTTCATCCGGTTAACTCATTTTATTTCTTTAGAACATAGCTCAAATGCCATCTTCTCAAACAAAATTCCTTAAATCTCCCAGACCAGGATCTATTCTCAACTAAACCCTCAATCCTAAACTCATTAAACTATCTAAGGTTTGTAATGTTTTTTAAATGTCTGTGTGTGTGTGTGTGTGTGTGTGTGTGTGTGTGTGTGTGTGTGTATGTATATATGTAGATATGTGTGTGCATGTTTAGACCTGACATATGAACTGTTGCTACTGGAAGTCACTGAAGTATTTTATCACAAATGTACCCTTCAACAAATTCCTCCTCTATTATTCCAGAAGCAGATAGTGCTACAAGCCTCAATTTCATAGCACTAGCCACAATTCCAATCTAACTCTTCTAGTGTCACGTCCTCCACTTTATACTATAAGCTCTAAGACAACAGTGTGCTCTCTCTACAGGAATGGATCCCTAGTGCTTACCCCAACCTCTGACATAGAGTGCACCGTCAAAATGCCTCTCAAATGGAGTCTACAAATGTCTCACCTTTTAAATCTTCCATCAATTCAAACATTCCAGGATAGTTAACTTGAATTTCATCAGTATCCTATTTTTAAAAGAAAAATGTAATATTTATGTGACAATCACAAACAAACAAATAAAAATCAAGACATCTTGGGGTTGTCTTCTGCTCTTGACAAAGCCTTGCCTACTCTCCCAATCTGCTGTTTCTTCCCTTACCCCTCTGGAGCTACTTTTTAAGATTAGGGGTTCTGTCAGTTTACCCCCCTTGCTTTCTATCAATACACAGGAAATGATGTCATTTTTGGTTGGCTGATTTTATGAAATGCATTCACGGTAAGTTAACTCAAATAGGTATTTTAACGGTAAGCCTATCGTCGCTAGCTATGCAACTGGGGGCGTTCTTCATCAAAAATTCCAATCACCTCCAATCAGATTTAGTTGTTTCTATGTCAGAGGGTTTGGAAATCACAGTCAATCTATTCAACTCGTCTGAGCAGAGTAATGAGTCCTGTAGGGCGACTGTGATTGGAAGGTGGGAGGGAGATGACTCTCTTCTGGAAATTTATTCTCGGAAAGTTTGAGGAGTAGAAGGAAAGGGAAAGAGAAAAGCAAGTATTTCATACCAATAGTCAGGGTATCTCATACCCTTTGGCCATTTAATAACAAGGGCCTCTCGGGGTGAAAAGCACTTATATATTTTTTAAAATGCTGAGAGAACTGAAGCACCTCTCCTAAATTCCCTTAAGTAGTACAGAGATAGGGTAGGGAGTCAAGTCACAGTCACTGAAGCCAGGTGTGTATGCCTGTGATCAAAGTACACCGGGGGTGGAGACAGAAGGATCAGTTCAAAGTTACAGTGACTTCCACATCAGCCTGGGGTATATGAGACCCAGTCTCAAAAAGGCCTCCCCAAAATAAAGTAAGTTATATCCAGTGTGCTATCCCATCAGTCTATGAAGAATCTGTGTTTCTTCTACACTTCCTATTTATGGATCCTCTTTATAAAACTCTCCACTGGGACTGAAATACAGCATGTTCTATCTCAACTAAGCCTAGACGGAGAAAATGTAGTCATTTGTGTCTGCTGGAATCGAGAGTTGGTGGTAGGGACAGTACCACAAGTGCCCCTATAATGGATACCCGTTACCACATTTGTAGTGGTCTTATCTCATATTACACCTAGCTTGGATTAGAAGATTCTAATGGAGTAGTATTTTTAAAGTCTCCCTTAAAGGGGTTGGCAGGCAAAGCACTGAGTTCAGTACTGAAGCCCACAGCAGGAGAGAACTGATTCTCAAAAGCTGTCCTCTGACCATGGCACACCTTCCTCCCTCACAAAATAAATACATGTTATTTAAAGAGAAGTCTCTTCATAAACTGGTACATTTTTTGAAGCTACTTATCCTGGAAGCTAAATGCTAAAGTTTATATTCTCAACAATTCAGTCAAGTTGTACTTATGCACACTAAAGATAGCAAGACACTCACCACCCCCCAAAAAAAGAAGATAAAAGAAAGAGCAAGGGAAACTGCCCCAAGCAATGAAATAAGTGGGTGACTTGGTTCTCCTGCTACTCACCACAGTCAGAGTATTGAAGCCAGCTCTCCCAAGCAGATGTCCTAGGTCACTGACAGCAGTGAAAGGAGAAATGTGTGGGGAAAATCCTCCTTCCCTTTCTGTTTCTGCTAACTGTAACGAACACCGAAGTTCATAGAGCGTGTCACCTCCAAACATCGCACCAACAAACACCCCATCTGGTTTTAAGACATAATGAATCTGTAATAAATATAACACAACTATTCAAATTTTACAGACAGAAACATCAAAATGATAAATGTATCCAAGTTAATGTTTTATGACTACAAACCTTATTTTGCCAAATAAATCAGGAAGTAAATAACATCAGACAAGAATCCTAGAGTCACTACTGTATGGCGTGTAGTCATGTTGTACAGTAATGACAGAGACAGAAAATACACTCACTAATGATTCTAGTATCTATAAGATGTCGTATGTTTTCAAATTTTATAAGAGAAAACTTGCTTTTTACAGTAACAAAACACTACAAGAAAAAACATTTAAAGAATGATAGCTCACAAAATTGTAATTCTTCCTGTTTGTGCCCTCTAAAAAGAATTTTTTTAAGATGTCCCACCAACAGATGGAATTTATTTCCTACTCTTTTAATCTGGGCTGAACTTCTGGCTTATTTTGGCTAAAGAAATGCAGTACAAGTGCCAGCTCATGAGTTTCAGCCTCGTTTAGGCCAGTTCTCACATGGCTCTGCATGCTTCCTTCAAACTGTTCTCTTGGAACACCCCCACTTGGCCACACCATCATCTACCCACCACTCGCTGCTCACTGATAAACACCAGTCCACAGGCATTTGTCTAACACTGACTGAGAGTAAGGTACAGGACAGATACAAACATAAACAAGTTCCTACCCAGAAAAAGTTCACAGGCTATAAAGGGAGAGAAGGAATTTAATATAGAATATGCTTTGTAGCCAGGCAGTGGTGGTACACACCTTTAATCCCAGCACTCATGAGGCAGAGGCAGGCAGATCTCTGAGTTCAAGGCAAGCCTGGTCTACAAAATGGCTTGCAGGATAGTCAAGGCTGCATGGAGAAACAGTGTCTCAAAAAAAGACAAACAAACAAAAGAATATGCTTTGCAATACCAATATTATTTTAAACAGTAATTAAATCTTTTATAAATATAAGTAATTCTAAAACTGACTATTCTTAAAGTTCTCAGGAATATCACCTAATGTGTATATTTGTAAGTCAAAGAGTACCAAGTATATCCAGCCCACAGAACATTACAAATATTTGGTTTCATTCCATTCTCTGTAAGACTTATAAACAGTGAAAACAGAAACATTTGTCAATCTGGATAATAAACTAACACAGAACTAAGCCAACATAAGTTTCCTTACCTGTTCAAGTGCTCTAGGAAGGTCATTCACCCAGTGCAAACTAAAATAGAAACACATAGTTGCTTAACCTTAATTAGTGTAATTATCATTAGGCTAAACCACAAAAAAGTATTAAACTTTAAAATCTGAAATTAAAGTATTTGCTATACTTCCACAACTCTGATCTTTTTTTCACTCTCTCCTTAATTTTGCCTTTTCCAGAATGTCATATAGTTGGAACCAACATAATTCAGCTTTTTGAATAAACTTTCATTTGGTAATGTGTCTTTAAGTTTCCTGCATTCTTATCATGTTTCTACACCTTATTTCTTTTTAGTGCTAAATAACTCCATTGTCAAAATGTACCACAATTCAACCACTTAGTTCTGAAGGACATCTGTGCTGGATAGTTTTATGTCAACTTGACACAAACTAAAATCACCTGAGTAGAGAAAACCAATTAGGAAAACAGCTGTAGGCAAGTTTGTAGGATATTTTCTTAAGTAGCGATCAATGGGAGAGTGCCCAGCACATTGTGGGTGGTCCCACCCCTGGGCAGGTGGTCTTGAGTTCTGTAAGAAAGCAGGTGGGCAAGGCAGGGCAGGCAAGCCAGGAAGCAGTACTCCTCCATAGCCTCTGCATCAACTCTTGCCTTCAGGCTCTTGCCCTCACCGATTTGATGATGAACTTTATATGGAACTGTGAGTGAAATGAACCCTTTCCTTCTCAAGTTACTTTGGTCATGGTTTTTCATCACAGCAACAGTAATCCTAAGACAGCATCTTAGTTGTTTCCAAGTCTTAGCAATTAATAACATAGCCACAGTGGTAAAAGCACTTGTTACTCTTGTAGAAGGCTGAGTTCAGTATTTAACACCCAAATGGTGGCTCACAACAATCTGTGACTCCAGTTCCAGAGGACTCTACATTTATTTCTGGCCTTCACAGGCACCAGACATGCATGTAGTGCACATACATACCTACAGTTAAAATACTCATATACATAAAATAAACGAATTTAAAAAAATTTTAAGGAGTAATATATTATTCATGTTCATGATTTTGCATGGATATAAATTTTCATTTCTTTGGGTAAATACCAAAGAGTATAAATGTTGGAACCTAACAAAGTATGTTCAAGTTTCAGGAAATCATCGAACAGTCTTTCAAAGTGTCTATATCATCTTGCTTTCGAACCAGCAGTGAGTTCCTGTTGCTCTACACCCTTGCCAGCAGCTGGTGTTGTCAGTGTTTGGATTTTTCCTATTTTAATAGGTAGACAGTACATCCGACGTCTTTTAAGATGATGGAAATCAAAAGAACAAAGCTTTCTAAACTTACACATAAGACACCTTTTAAATCTCATGTTTTCTGCTGACCCTGTTTATTCTCTAATGTGTGACAGCAAAAGAGCTTTAGCAAGCTGTATGTAGAAACCTGGGAATAAAAAGACACTACATCAGATGATTTCTACTAGGGTGTCCTAAATCCATAATTGCTAAACAGAAGAATCTTGCAGTTTATAAACTAAAGAATTTACTTTATCACAATGAAGAACATACAGTAAGAGTGTTTGTCTTTAACCCAAGGATTTAGGTTTAATTCCAGGTTGGGGTGGAGGGTGGTGGTATTAATCCATTATCTATTGCTAGCTTAAGAGTAAAATGTTACAATGTAAATTAGACCTACTTATAACATATATATACACACATACGTATGTGTGTGTTTGTGTACACATGCATGCATGCCTGCACATGTGTGCACGTGGAGGCCAGAGGCTAACCTCATGCTTGGGTTCTGACCATACTGTTTTTTAAATGGGGTCTCTCACTTGTCTGGAACTCATCAAGTAAGACTGACCTGCTGCTGGCCAGGGAGCCCAGGGATCTGCCTGTCACTGCCTCTCCAGAGCCAGGATTACAATACAAGCATGTGCCATCATGGCTGCCTTTGATGTGGGTTCTGTGAATCCAACTTAGGTCTTCATGCTTACGCAGCAAGCACTGTACCAGCCAAGGCATCTCTCCAGCCTCTCTAACATACATTTTAAAAGTACAAATGGATTACTAACCTTAAGCTGCTAACCACCAGGTCAAATGTGTTTTCTTGGAAGGGAAGGAATTCTTCGTCAGCTAAAATATTCACAGTAGGAATATCTGTTTCTAAGGAATTTTTCTAATGGTAAAAAACAAAAGTTCAATATATTTAAATAGAGTTTCAATTACTAACACAATCATTGTTAAACACTGTTAACGTTATATTTGCTCAGAAGTTTCTATCAAAAAACAAAACGAAACACAAAATGTGGCACACAAAAGCATACAAGAATCTTTCTTAAATAACATCTAGCTGCTCCAAAAATAGGAGCAATAAATCCATTCACACTAAAAGAAATCTCAGGTAAATGAATATTTCAGAACAACAAATGAAGCCACAAAATACTAGATGTAAATCTGGGTGAACACTTTTATACTCTTAAAAACGTATGTAAACAAGACTAAAAAGTTAGAAACTGTAAATGAAAATATTGATGTTTTATGACAAACTAATTTAAAAACTTCTAAAAAGCAATAAACAATGTAAATGAAAAGTGGGAAGATATATATTATAAATTATGAAAAGTTAATGTCTCTAAAATATAAACTCTTACAAATGGCCTAAAAAACAAAACAAACAAACATGTAAAAGCTCAAATCAATGAAGGTGAGAGGATAGGCATGTCACAAAGTTATTTTAAAAATTCAAAGTTAAGGAATACCAATGAGCGTCAGGCATGGTGGCGCACGCCTTTAATCCCAGCACTCAGGAGGCAGAGGCAGAAAGATCTCTGAGTTCAAGGCCAGCCTGGTCTACACAGCTGTTCCAAGACAGGCAGGGCTCGTTTCCACAGGCACCAGGCATGCACATGGTGCACATACATACATCCAGGCAAAACACTCATACACACAAACTAAAAATAAATTTTGAAAAAGAAACATACCCACACCCACAGAGAGACAGAGAAAGACAGAGACAGAAAGACACTGACTAAATGGTAAGTGGCCAAAATCCAATAATCAAGCTATCTGTCCACAGCTATTTCACTGAACTAATAATCAAAGACAGAAAAAAATAAGAGGCAATTTTAAATTTTTACTTATCTGATTAACAAAAATAAAAGGGGCTGGACCAGGATTGCCAAAGAAAAGAAGAAAAAAGCACTTCCACATAAAATCCTCATTCATCTTTCTAGGGACAATCTGGAGATATATACTGAACACGAAAAATAAAGAAATAAATGAATTCGACCAAGAATTTATCTACAGGTAAAAGTAAATAAACCAAACACACACAGTCACTTTACATATGATGTTAACAGCATGGGTGGCTACAGAGAAATCAAAACTGCAGCAGGCTTCCAGAAGCTGCTTAGATAAATCTATGTGATGCTCACATACTGGCAGGCTATGTGGTCATTTTAAAAAGAGGTACACACACAAACAGTATTCAAACATAACACAGTATCATTCCACAAAAACATGGAATGTTAATGTACTGTTTACGTGAACTTGGGGAATGGAGATACACATTTATAAAGGTGGCAGGCCAAATGTCAACAACAGCTGTCTCTGGGTAGTAAGATTAAGAATCCTTTTCTTACTGTATTCCCTGTATTTATAGCTGGAAGATTTCCTGTGTCCTGGCCTGCCGGCGGTCGGGACAAGTCTCTCCCACTCACGTCCCACAAGTAAACACACAGAGGCTTATGTTAATTATAACTGCATGGCCATGGCTCAAGCTTTTAGCTAGCTAGCTCTGTATCTTAAATTAGCCCATAGCTATTAATCTATGTATCACCACATGTTCCGTGGCTTTACCTGCTTCCCATTACATGTTGCTTCTTAGGCAGCTGGCTGGCCTCACTCTTCTCCTTCTTCCTGGATCTCTGAATTTCCTACCTGCCTCTAAGTTGCCTTGCCATAGGCCAAACAGCTTTATTTATCAACCAATCAGGGCAACACATATTTGAAGCATACAGAAAGACATTCCCCCATCAGTATTATCTGAGTCTATATATTTATAATTACACTTATATTGCGAAAGAAATAAAGAACTAAAAATTAAACCAGGAGGTCAGAAACAAATATTAAAAAGCTACCTACCAAAGCATGTTCTGCAATGTCTGTTTGAAAAATCTTTCCCACGGTCTCCTGCAATGGAATAATCAAAGCAAAACAATTACTGAAATTTCCAAAGGAGGAAATTACAATTTTTACCTCCTCCAATCTTTAATCTGTATCTTCTGGTCTCTTTCTCTCACCAACAACAGGCATCAGCTTCCCAATCTTGAGAAAATTCTTATCTCAGCACCTCTCTGATTTTATCTAGTATTACTTGTGTATTATAAACATATACTTGATGTATGGGGTTTTTTTGCTTATAATTCAGGACTCTGCTCATGAGGTTTACAATTCTTGGTGTTTATAAAGTCACTAAATCGCCCTCTAGGGGTGGCTCATGGTCTAAGCATAATCACAGTTTCTCATTGGGTCAGTCCTGGTCAGTCAGTCTCTCTCTCTCTCTCTCTTGGTTTTTCAAGACAAGGTTTCTCTGTGTAGCTTTGCGCCTTTCCTGGAACTCACTTGGTAGCCCAGGCTGGCCTCAAACTCACAGAGATCCACCTGGCTCTGCCTCCCGAGTGCTGGGATTAAAGGCGTGTGCCACCACCACCCAGCCAGTCTATCTCTTTAACCGCAGCACCACTGAGATCTCCAGGAAACATCTTCAGTGATTTCCATTTGGTGTCCCTCTTCTGTTAGAGAAACTGCTATCTTTCAATTCATACCACATTCACTTTTTTCTGCTCACAGCTTAGCAAGCATACACCCTACCAATATTTGTTAGGCAGCGGAGAGAAACAAGAGAGCACTGTGAGTTGAACTCTTTGCTGATTTCCAAGGCACTGCTACTCTGCCGAGGTGGATTACGTGCTACCTGCCACAGGCTTGGTAAGGGAGGTGCAGAACTGGCTCTCAGATGACACCACTGTGGAGAGCAGAGAACTAAGCTAATCAATCTGACTATCTATCTGTCTCTCTTCAAAATCTGAACAAAGAGATGAAAAGACAGGAGCAAAGGTCTCTGAGCTCGAGAGCACAAACACTTAAGGTTAGAGCAGTGGTATGCTAAAAACTAACTCTTGGCAGGGTACTATTATGTAGCACTTGACAATTTCCATGGTGTAACTATTTCTGCCATAGCTGATTTCAAGTTATCAATACAATATCATTAAACAGAGTTGGGGAAGAAATAACAACTAGCTCTCAGGAGCTGGAAAAAGCTAGTTAATCATAGGGTATATATAGTGGGGCCACATGCATCAAGAATACTAGAGACAAAAAGCTGGGCAGTGGTGGCACATGCTTTTAATCCCAGCACTCAGGAGGCAGAGGCAGGTGGATCTTGGAGTTCAAGGCCAGCCTGGTCTACAAAGTGAGTTCCAGAATAGGCTCCAAAGCTACACAGAGAAATCCTGTCTCAAAAAAACCAAAAAAAAAAAAAAAAAAAAAATGTTAGGGACAATCTACAAGAGAAAAAGAATGAAGATAACATATAGCAATATAGCATCCATATAAGCCCAGAAAGCATGTAAAACAGGGGTGTACTTCATACTTCAGTTTCAACATCTCAATACCTTATGAGAGATAACTCTATTTCCAAATCTGAGTAGCATAGAACTTCCAACAAATACCTTTGTATTTAAATTGACTTCAGTGGATTTCTGCTTCTTAAAATCAAAAGATGGGCCAGAGACATAGCTCAGTAGTAGAGCCCACATTAGCAAGTGTTCTATCACTGAGTTACACCCCAACTGAGTTAAAGTTACCTTAATATTCACGCATTCACAATGTAATAATTATTCATTGAGGGTTGTAGGTACTATGATTTTAGTAATGAACAAAAATAAGCAAGTCTAGTACAAGAAGAAAGACACCAAGGAAACAAACTAATACCATAGATTAATGAGTGCTATGGAACTTACTGTCAGCAAAAGTGGGGGTACTATTTGAGAAAGTAATCACAAGACTGTTGAGATGGAACAGTGAGTAAAGATGCCAGGCGCCAATCTGATGACAGATATAATCAACTTTCTAAAGACATCCTCTGATCTCCACACGTGTGCTGTGACAAGCATGTGCTCGCACACATACAAATACACACGCAAATACATGATTATGACGAATTTAGAAGAGAATCCATCAGTTCTGACAAGATGAAGAATGACTTGGCTCATACTTTAAAAGGATCATCCTGAAGTGAGCACAGATTGTTGGGGGCAAAGATAGAAGCAGGGAAACCCATGCGGGAGCGACTACAGCAATTTAGGCAAGGGTTGGGGACAGCTAGGGCCAGTACGGTAAGGTGAAGGATGTAAGAAGTGGAGCTACAGATACATATGATACCAAATGGGAATTCCAGATCCAATCCTGATCAAGTTCTGCTGGGTTTAGTAGGACTCCCATATATTACACCTTTAAATCTGCTTCATCTCCCAAGACTGTAATGCCTTTAACACTGCCTCTTAAAGGGCCCATCTACTCCCTCTTCTTGACTCATTCTGACATGACATGCCCAAATTAATGGTCCTTCAGCATCACTCGATCACACTCCACAGCACTCTCCCTTCCTTCTGCCATGCTGATCCTCAACGCTATGAACCACCAACCCGGGATTCTGGGCCTCGAAGACTACATCAAATAACTCCTTGCTTCTCCTGCCCTTTCACTCTTGCATTTCAGCAAGTGTTTTATTTCCTATGGCATTTGTTATCATCAATAGTCGTGTCTGGGGAGTCTCACAATCCCCCTGCACCCCAGCCCAAATATACGTTTATCAAAATAGATTTTACTTCAGAAATCCCAGGGGCTTCAAGATGGCTCAGAAGTTAAGAGCATCTTCTGCTCTTTCAGAGGATCCAAGTTCATTTCCCAGTCATGTCAGGTGGCTCACAACCATCTGGAACTGCAGCCCTAGGAAATCCAATATCCACATGCCAACATACTCACCTACACATAATTAAAATAAGACAAATAAATATTTTTTTAAATCTCATTTTAATCTTTGTGTCTAGCACAGTGTCTTAATCACAAAGGCTAAAAGGATATGTGAACAAATGAATGTATTTATGGTTTGTGGTGATTTGAATAAGAATGGCCCCTATAAGCGCGCAGATTTGAATGCTTAGTCATTAGGGAATGTGGCCCTACTCAGGGATTAGGAGGTGTGGCCTTGTTGGAGTAGGTGTGGCTTTGTTGGAGGAAACAGTCCCTGGGGGTGGGCTTTAGGGTTTCACATGCTCAAGCCAGGCCCAGTGTCTCTTCCTGCTACCTGCAGATCCGGATATAGAACTTCCTTCTCCAGCACCATGTCTGCCTGCATGCTGCCATGCTTTCCACCATGACAATAATGGACTAAACCTCTGAACCTGTAAGCCAGCCCCAATTAAATGTTTTCCTTTATAAGAGTTGCTGAGGTCATAGTGTCTCCTCACAGCAACAGAAATCCTAAGACATGGTTTGCATTAAAAAATGTGAAATAAAATAATATGAATACTATTAAATGCTATCTATATTTTACACAGCTTTTAACTAATAAAATTAATATGACTATGTATGTATTTATGTGTGTGTACATATTTTTTACATTGCCAAGAATCATATTCAGAGCTTCATATATGCTGGACAAGAATTCTGCCAGTGAGCTACACACCAGCTTTTATGGTGAATTATCAAAAATGCTTAAACAAAGTGAGAACAAAGAGAAAAACAGGTTTAAAGAAATTATTGCTTTTAGAATTCTTAGATTTCTTTAAAAAATTATTGAATTAAAGCACTGAATAAATGTTTAGCAATTTTAACATAATCAAAATCTAAATATTCACAGGGAAGTCTTTTCTTAAAATTAAGTAAATTGGGGCTGAGGAGATGACTCAGTTATCTTGCCTTCAAAGTACTAGGATCTGAGTTCAATTCCCTGAACCCACATAAAAAAAAGCTGGGCATAGTGGTGCCCGTAATGCTAGCAAAGGAGTAGAAGAGACAGGCAGCTCCCAAGGCTCACTGGCCCTCTAGTATAGCCTACTTGGCAAGGAGTAGGCCTACAAGAGACATATCCCAAAAAAACACAAAGATGGATGGCACCCAGGGAGAGCACCTGAGGACGACACCAAGGCTGTGCTCTGCCCTCTGTGTGCGTGAGCAAACACGTACCTACGCACACAAAGAAATGCTCCAGGCATGCTTTGCATGTGCACACACACAATTAGTCAACTGTATTTTTCAAAGTTGATTAAGCCAGTGTATCAAATACCTTATTCAAATGTTGTGCTATGTAGCCTCTTCCACATCCCACGTCCAGCGCAAGAGGGAAATCTCTGAAAAAAGACATAGAAGCTAAGCTTTGCAATACCGTCCATAAAATAATCAAGAACTAATTGTCTTAAGTAAAAAGATTTTAGTAACTACACCTTTCAGGAGCCTTGCCGTACCAGCGTATCTAGCAGAAGATAGAATGTACAGAGCCAATCTGTTTGATCTAGTCACTAATCCACAGGCCCTAATACTGAACCATGGAGACCCAGCCTTAGGCAGGGGATGTAGGTCAGCAGTAGGTCAGCAGTGCAGCACTTTCCTAACATGTTCGAGTTTAAGCTCTAGCAGCACAAACAAACAAAAAGGTTTAGACATGAATTTGAAGAACACTTAACAAAGGCATCTGAGTTCAATAACCCAAGATTGAAGTCAAGCTAAATGTAAGTTAATATGGAAACGATGGCATACTTTGCAGCAAATCAATAATTATCTTTGCCGGGCGTTGGTGGCGCACGCCTTTAATCCCAGCACTCGGGAGGCAGAGCCAGGCGGATCTCTGTGAGTTCGAGGCCAGCCTGGGCTACCAAGTGAGC